AATATATTTTAAAAAGCGTGTAGAACTGAAAGCGAAACTCAAATATTATTATTTTTTCATTAAATTACTAATCGAATACAAATCGATATCGTTTCGTTGTATTTATGTTAGTTATGTGGCAACATCAAATCTGACAGCTATAGGAAATATGTCATGCGAAATGAAATCACAATTCAACAAGTAAAAAGGTACTAGTGAATTCACAACTAAATAGTTGCCATTGTGTTATTTTGTTTGTTATTTTTCAAATAAATTCTCAAGAACTCATATGGAGTGAGATTGTCGATCACATTATAGTGTGACAACTGTTAAAAGTAAGTGTTCAACAGTTTTTAATTTATTAATTCTAGTGCTGATATTTGATAGTGATGAATGTATGAAATGATGAAGTTGTTTTATTTTTTAACATATGCACAAGCTATACCTGACAAAGAAAATAGCTTATTTGTAACACGGCGATAAGATTAGCTAGCTAACACCAGATAGTTACGAAATGGACAATTTTTATCAAATACCAAGAAATAAGACAGTCGATTTTTAATTGTTTTTGGACTACTGGTAGGCAGTCAGTCCTTAATTATTAAATAATATAGGGCATTAAGTTTTAAGTAACATTTACCTATATTTGAGTTTAAAGTAAACAAATCTATTTTATTTTGTTCACTTTGTCTTATTTTTTTTTTATTTAATATTATTTCAGTTGCCATCGTCATCGCGTGAGTGTCATGATTGCGAAGAATTGATAAAGCAGCAACACGTTAAACTTTAGAACGGGAACCATCTGAATCATCTAGTCCATCCTTGTAGCAATCTAAAGTGAGTAATGTATTGAACCTAGAACAACAAAGCTTAGATCATACATCATACAATATACTGCTGCCTAATTTTGTAAGAGCACCACTCACACAAAATCAATGTTTTTTCCTGGTTGTAACAATTCCAATCAACTCACTGTTCCATCAGCATTGCGGGTATGTATTTTTGTGAATACAATTACTATGTACCTCCAGAATGTAGAATCAGTAACTACCATTTAAATAGTAACTCTTGGTATTTACTTTTAGAATTAATATATAACCATATTAAAACATTTAGTGTAGCACAAATTATAGATTTTTCTACATTATTGTAAGATAATATTTACCATCATATAGACTTTCAAAATATTTACAATATGCCCGAATATACTGTACATTATTATCTACGCTTATCAAAGGCACAATGCCAATAAATTCTGTCTGAAGTGCCCAAAATGTCAAGTAAACATAGTGGATGCTTTGCACTTGCTGTATATTTGATGAAAGTAAGAACAGGAGATAGTGATGAATGCATATAGGCATTATTGCAAGTACCAAGAAACAAATTAGAGCGGCTCATGAATATGGCCCAAGAAATATTAAATCAGGATGTTGTTCCTATGAATTTTATCCATCGTTACCACTCTCTGTGCCAAATTCTATTCAGTAATTATGATATTATATCTGAGGCAAATAATTTCTTAGCTTTCCTAGATGTTTTTGTTATCCAAAATCCTAACAACATCATAGGTCACACTGTGTATAGAAAAAAGACCCATACAAACTGATATTTAAGCGGTGAATCTCACCATAATCCTTCACAGTTAGTTACCATGAGCAAATCTTTGTTACAGAGAGCATATGGGATCTGTGAGAACAAGCACCTGGCCGCGGAGCTTCAGCACGTCAAGCAGGTTCTGCACAAAATCAAGCTTCGGGTCCCACGTCTTCGTCACAGTGACCGAGTGAAGCCGACCGCAGTTGAGCGTGTGCCTGCTGTACTACCGTATGTCAAGGGTGTCACCCCAACCAGATAGACATACATCAGATTTGATAGACCACAAATCCTCGTTAAAGAACATTAATTCCTACCAAGGGTGATATGTGAGGCTACTGAAATTAAAAAACATCCTAATTTCAGTAGAGAAGGCGGTTGGGTACTACCACCTGCTTGTAACACTATAATTAATAAAATTAAAACAAACCCCAAGCATACCACTGCAAGACTTAAAGATAGAGTAAGTTCAATCTGCGTAGATTGGACTATAAAAATAATAATAAAAAGCTGAAGGTACTCCCAGTCCCAATACTGACATTGGGATGGCAGTCACCTCAGTGCCCCGTGACCATGGGTGCTATAAAGCACCTGAAACGTCAGGAATTAATAATAATAGTATAATAATAATATAACCATTTATTTCCGAACTTTGGGGTTACATAATATTTGTGTTTGAGTTCCTATTGTAATACTAGTTAAAGTAAGTCCCTCTGTTCGGTGTGCCTTTTGGCATAGGCCTCCAAAAGAAAAAATCACGCGTCGGGAATTAAAAGTTAAAGAAATTAAAAGCAATAAAATTGGTAAAAGTAGTCGTTAAAAAACTGTATTTGTGAAAATAAAAAAGCTTTATATCATAAAAATCCCGACTTTTTTTTAAACCAATTCCTTAACCATTTCATTATTTTAATTGCATATTATCAGTTCCATATGCTTTTATATGTGGGCACCCATGGCCGAAGTGTCTATGAACAGTGGGCATCCCCCTTTGATATAGGTAAATTCATGTCTTTATCTTGAATTTGATTGCTCAAAAACACGATAGTATAATTTTGACTCGATCATAATTATTTGCGAAAACACCTCTAAAAAACCACTATAGTTGAAATTACAACGAAATTACTTAATATGCTTCGAAATCACTCAAATATATTCATAACATTAATATTCATAATTTACTTGCTCATTATTTTGATTACTCAAATCAATAATTTTTACAAAAATATTTTAAAGTTTCTGAGAATTTCTAAGCGCTTTTAATCGTCGCGGGCGCTACGCTATTTTAGACCTTATGAGGGCGTTTTTTCAAGTTTTTATAGAAATTATGCATTCACTCTGATCAGTCCGGCGATAGCCCTTTCGAGGTGTCGTCTTAACGCAATTCCTTTGTATAGTGCGACGTTGCCACTCTTGTTAGTTATTCCGCTTCGTAATATTTTATTTATAGGTGATATTTTGTTTATGTAGGTATTCGATAGATTCCTATAGTCTGTTTTTTTCGCAGGAGACAAAAATAACAGATCTTTATTAGATTCGTTTAGCCCGAATAATACAGTTTTTATGATTCTGGTTCAGATTTGTTTTCTTATCGGTCACCACGCTCAAAAAGTGTAACTTGATTTAATATCAAAGACTTAACTGCATAAATAAAATAAATAATTAATTATAATTGCATAAGTTGATAAAAAATGCTATGCAATAGCTTTACCGCGGCAGTCCCCGAGTGCCACACGTCTTTTTTATTTTAATTTAAGATTAAGGGCTTATGGACAAAGCGAAACATTAAAATACATAAATCAATGCGTTAAAAGCTACACAAGACAATTTTTTTAGCAAATTATAAGTATCGCTTATCTGTATTACACATACTACAGAAATAATATACTTATGGTAATAAATTGACTTTACTATCTACAATCTTTTATTTTTCTCTTAACACAAAGTAAGTAGGTAATACAAGTTTTTATATATTAAGCTACATAACGATGTAGATTATACATATTTCTTGATAAATGACTTATATATTATTGTAATCCTTGTTTATTATACTAAATAAAATAAATATAGGGGAATCCCTTAGCATCACTTTGTCTTTTTTCCTTGAAGCAACAAATCGTGTAGTCACCCTAATAGAGTAGGACGCACTCCTAGAAAGCGCTATCTCACTCAGCTCGTTTGTCAGTCGTGACTGCGTAATCTTGTTAAAATAAAACATCTTTGCGATATGTATGTTGTGCTCAATGCGAACACAGACAGTAACAAATCTTAATAGGTGTAGTGCGAACGAATTTTGTGTGATTTATTTTATGCTATTTATTTCAAAACGTTACGTGTTGAGTGTTTTTCGGTGCAAACGTAGGGTAATATTTTACAATTGTTAATTCAACATAATAAACAGTTAAGAGCCGTCGTAGCTCAGATGGTTAACGCTCGCTGTAAATATAACAGAACGCGAGTAACCTGGGTTCGAACCCTGCCGGCACCGATGAAATTATTAATTACAATTTAAAGTGCCGATATACCACATGCTAGGCGATGAAGGAAAACATCGTGAGGAAAGCTGCATGTCTGAGGAATAAGAAAAAAATATTTCGAAGACATGTGAAGTTCACAAACACGCTTTGGGGCAGTGCCGCGGACACTTCCTTGCCCTAAAACCCTCTAAGAAATGAGGCCTCGCGTGCCCAGCCGTGGGACGTATATAGGCTGTAACTTTAACTTTAAACAGTTACACAGAATAATAAAATAATTGATACAATTACTTATAGGTGAACTCTGTTGAATAAGTATTTTAAGTATATCTGCCTTTTTAAGTAAAATAGTACGATATCGTATTTTAAATATCGGCGCAAGTAAACTATTATAAGAAAACGGTGGTACAAGTGCTTGGATGTGGTATTATAAATCTTAATTATTATTTTTTTCGCTTGGGCAGTTTAAGACCACTTCCACTATAGTGGAAGTTGATACGTAAAATTTATGCGATTTTGTGTATTAAGTGTTTGTGTATGTGAACTATTCGTGAAAACGACGAAACAAGTGCTTCGCTGTTGAGGTTTAAGAACTTGAGTTACTGTCGTCATCGACTGTCCGTTGGGTTGAATTGTCGTCTAAATCTACCAAAAACTTCGCAATGCCTCGCATCAACATATTGTAAAAAAACTATAAAACGAAGATCCCGAATGAAATGAAGATACGGCTAAAAAGACAAGCATTTAAGTCAAAATATAATAACAATAATAAAAAATTAAAAAAAACTGACTTTGACAGTTTCATTTGACATTGACGTTTGACGCTACAAAACAAATGTTTTGCTTGTGCGGCTGACTGGACTGCTACTACGGTACTCATTGCTCGATAAACAGACAAAATCTTTTATATCCTGATATTATTTTGTGATGTGAATTTCCTACGCGAAAGCAACAACCATGGGATTAAAAGTTACAGCTATCATATTAATAATTATAAGTTTACTCTGCTTTTACACGGGTAAGTATTGAACAATTATTTAATTGAATCAATCAAGGTTTGCATTACAAAGTATTCTTTTTAACAGAACATATCCTGTCTTGCAACGTGACCTCCCTCGAACCGTGTCCAGGAAATAATCATTTCTGTAACCAGACGTCGCTTGAGTGCGAATGTATCGAGGGCTACTACAAAGTTGGTGATGAATGCCAAAACTCTTACACATATTATATATCAAGCCGCGATTCTACAGCTATAGTCGTGAGTATCTTCACAGTTGCTTTAATAGTTTGCGGACTGGTGTTGGTGATCAGGAAGTACAGTTTGATAGAATATATGCGTCAAAAGATAAATTTGAGAAGGAATAATGATGTGATGTATGAAGACGTCATGATCGGTCAAGATGACCCTCCTTTGAGCCCTTAGTTATAACAATCGTTGACTATTTATTAGTATAGATTGGCAGATAATATTCAATATGGGTAGTAATGAAGAAATGTTAAGTCATTACAATCATGAAATTGGTCATTCATAGAAAATAAACTATAATCATTGATAATAAATAACATTAGTTTATATTTGGTCATAAATTCATATAGAGCTTTACTGAGAATAATAATCTATTTTACATTAAATAGTAATACTGTTGTTTCTAAATCATATAAACAAATGTTTAAACTCTTACAAAGTATAATTGTGATTACTTCACATATGCAGCTCACTCTAATTAGGTTCTTATCTTAGGTCTATATAGTTTAGGTATGAATATTATATGTTATGAATTATTTAACTGTTACATAAGCACAGACTTGATAAATATACATTAGAATATTATTGGGATCAAATATGTAGAACAATCTTGCCCATAAATACTTTACAAAGTGACATTGTTTTTGTATTTTCTGAATAATTAGATTACTATATTGTTTGTTTTGTTCATGTTTCCTACAGTTAATAGTAACCAAACAATTATATTAAGTATTAATGTTGTCATAAAGCAACCATGTATTGTTACAAGTGATTCCTTTATTGCTTAATTGCTCATTCCCATTCTGACCTCCCCTCCTACTCATGTAACTGTGAACCTCTTACCTCGACCGATTCCACAAAATATTTAGGTATTATTATAGACAATAAACTGACCTTCCAGCCCCACATCAACCTCACCGCTTGTAGACTCCTTAACACTCTACTTAACACTTTGTCAGTCACTTATAGTTTACTTTTTAACAACCTGGGGTGGTGCGAGTAAGTCAATACTAATTAAGCTGGAAAGAGCCTGAAGAGCGGTCCTCAAAGTCTGCACGTTCAAACCCCTGCTATCACCAATATTCAATCTTTATCAGTATTGTGAGGTTCTTTCAGTTCGCCAACTCTTTATTTTATTAACTGTCCTCAAACAACATAGTAGTTGTAGCTATGATCCTCTTTAATGTTTTCCCAGCGAAATCACCTTGTAGTACGTTCAACCCCGTTCAAAACCCTAAACTCACAACGGTTTTTCTGTTTCTTGGGCCCCTTCCTCTACAATAGACTATATCGTGTGCTCAACATCTTTCCTCTTACAAAACTGTCCTGCAAATCTAAAGTCTCTAATTATTTGCAGACTATGAACTATGAGGAGACTGAAACTATCCTCCATTCTATCAGGTAGGTAATATACTAACATCCACACCCATTCTGACACACACACACACGCGCGCGCGCGCGCACACACGCACACACACACACACACACATGCACCATTTCTTTCTCTTTTCTCTCTTTTTTGATTACTTGTGCAATCACTATCTGTACCATAATGATCCACATCCTGTAAGGAGAGTGCTGGTGCTCTGAAACACAGGCTCTTAGCCTAGCTCAGACGCCAGTCTCTCACAATCTAAATATGTTTGTTCCCTGGTGTTAACCTCTGTTCATTACTATACTAGTTTTTTAGATTGTGGAGAAAATAACGAATTATTATTATTATTATCCCTAAATAAGATATTAAATAAAAAATATATAATAATGATCATAAATCATAACCCAAAGCATCAGTAAACTGAAGTGGTTTAGGCTAACACTATAGCTCAAAGAACCGACAACCAATGGGAAGGAAGTCTCTAGTGCCAGCCTCATACCAGTAAAGGAAACATTGAGAGGACACACTAGATGGTGGAATGACCTGAGAAAAACTAAGTCAGAAGTCGGAAAGAAGCAAGTGACTCCGGTCTGTGCTTGGTGGCGTTCCTTGGGGAGGCCTATGTTCAGCAGTGGACTTGTTATTAATTAATACATTAATCCATCAGATCACAGATCATCCGATCCATCAGATCCAGACACCAGTTTTTTAATAATATATCTTGAAATAAAACATGCTCTAACAGAATACAAGCATAAAATAGCAGCTTAGTCTTGCTGTCTTTCTTATAGTGAGTGTTTTAAAGACCCTTTTTACTAGAAACAAGGTATTTCTATGAAGTTCTCAGGGGTAACAACACATCTGCATTTTGATTTGTACAATGATAGATTTAAATGTCTATGGGCCACAGCATCAACTTACCATTAAGTGGACTGTGTGCTTATTACACCCTTATTCTATAAAAGAAACCAAAAAAATACAGCCCATTAAAGTCCACCAGTGAATGTGGGCCCTATAGATTGCCTCACAGGAGGAAATTTGCCATAGGTACTATGCTTGGCAGACAAGTTGGCTACTTCAGTGTAGACATGTGTCATTCATTTATTTTTAGTGACCCTAATCATTCAAATATTGATTCGTCTTATGAACCAGAACATTTTGGTGAATCATTCAATTCATTTTGAGTTACAGTACCGTAATCTGTGAAATCCGCTCGATAATGTCGTTCATCGGACATTACTATACACTTTGGTTAGGTCCTGTCAATAATTTGATTCAAAACATTCAAAAAATATATTTTCAATCATCATTACTTTGATGCGCCCCAGGTCAAATTAACAAATCATTCACAATTGACACATGTCTACTTCAGTGTTTTATTGGAGTTGTTATAAGGAAGATACTGCTGCCTATTTCCTATTTCAGTTTTCTTCTGTCAACATTTCCAATACCCATGGTACATGATCATATAATATGTATTATTTTCTTTTGTCTAGAACAATACAAACTCTATAGCAACTGCTACTGTAAATTATTGGAAGATGGATGCATTTTATAATGACTGCTATCTTCATTCCAATACGGCACCTTCCTTTTCCAATTTATAATTATTTACTTTTTTCACTTATTGTATGATAAAACAGTAAAAAATTGCTAGAGCATGACCCATGTAACCTTTCTTTTCTTAAATCCAATGCAGAAATAATATGCTGTCAAAATATACCTTTTTATTCTTATAATTCTATAAACTATAGTTTAGATTCTATTATAGACATTGTTAATATTATAATGCACTTACATAGTAATGTATCGCACAAAAATATATAGTATCAATTTTATATGTTTACATTAACAATATATTACTTAATATTTATGTTTTATATTTAAATATTTATTAAAAGTTTTTAGTAGATATCATTTGCTCATAGCTTTTGTTGCTAACGCTCAAGTTTGCCAAAGACTGACTGTCAGTAAATTTGCTTTTAAACCTTAACTTTGTTGCAAGAGTATTATTTGACTTTGTTTATTTGACAAATGTGATAACACAATTTTGTAAGTAGGTACATAAGTGAATGTGGTAATATTCTTTGAAACTGAAATTGATAATATACACAACAAATAAGTAATAAGTACAATTAGTGTTACTCATTTCAAAGGTAATGTAATTTCATGGGTTTTCAAAGTTATTTCAGTTTTTACACGAGTGTTGATTATATCTTAATCCAGGGCTTGCAACGCAGTAATCAGTAACCACTAAACAATGTGGTTGTGAATTATCTCTAGAAGTTATTGTTTGTAAGATCGTAATCGTCGTAGAAAACTACCCACATTTATAAAAAAGTATAAATGCACAAATGCCACACATTTGCCAATATAAATTGATAATGTTGTTTTTATGTGTTGCAAATAATAAAACTTTAAATATGTGTATATTAAGTCATAATTTATTAATAGTTCAGTTAGTTAAATGTAAAACTAATTAGTTAGCATTTTAAAAATGTAAAATATCTTGCTGGCAATTTACACTCAGTTTTATTGGGCCCAGCTAAAAGTAAAAGATATAATTATTATTTAATTTATTTTGTAATAGAGAGATCTGACAGTCATATTGCTTATATACTATTGGCTCGTTTATCTCTGAAGCGCCTTTTTCATTCAAGGTCACAAAGTCGGCTTGACGTACGGCAACAATTACGTACATCAAGCCTACTCATTGTCGTTTTATGTCGTGCGCCGTGCATGACCTTGGCGAGACGTACAGCAAAATTGACAATGAATAAGCCGCTTAAGATGGCCCTAGTTGCTGTCACGCACTAAGTGGTGGGCGGGGTTAAAATGCATGCTATCTCAGCCGACATCACGTGTGAAAGCGAAAGGCATGATGATTTACAATAAAAACGAACGCGCGAAATTTCATAAACAGCCCTTTGGGAATCTGGATATCATGAAAAATCTATTAAATGTATCTGTTCAAAATAAAATTGTTTGCACTTTGAACACCTAATCTATCCCTTTATGGTAACTGTTTTGCATTTTTCGTTCTTTTTATGCTATTTATTTCCACCCAAATATGTGTTACATTAGCACTTTTAAATATATTCATATTTTACATTTTTGTTTCCATACAGGGTTAGATAATGATGAGTCAAATTGAAATCATTTTTTATTTTGAACGTACAACAGTCAAACAGTGGAGTAATCGCCAGACTACGTTTGTATGGAATAATGAGTGTTTAGGGTACCCTTAAGGTGGCAACAGCCTCCTTACTGATAATATACTATTTATTAAGGTACTCTGCGTACGTTAAACAATAAATATTATTATTTTTACAAGGGCATAGGCATAGGCATTTATACGTGGTAAAGCCACGCTGCAGCTATATTATGGTTGTAGCATGAATGTCGGCTTGACCGGGGAAGGACCACGCTCTCACAGAATACCATCGTGAAATGGCAGCTTAATGTTGCTGTGTTTCGTATGGTGAGTGTAGAGAACCGGCGACCCTTTTTACTGGAATCGAGGCATTCCATCTTAGTTCTCAGGGGTTACAACGCATCTGCATTTTGATTCTTAATCGAGGTTAAATGTAGATATCTATGAGCCGCAGCATCCACTTACTATCAGGTGGCCTGTGTGCTCGTTTGTCTCATATGTTGCCTCATAGAGGGGACATTTGCCATAATTGCCGCACTTGGCGCGCGGGTAGGCAGTTAATAATTGGCGCACTTGGCGCGCGGGTAGGCAGTTAATAATTGCCGCACTAGACGCGCGGGTAGGCAGTTAATAATTGCCGCATTTGGCGCGCGGGTAGGCAGTTAATAATTGCCGCACTTGGCGCGCGGGTAGGCAGTTAATAATTGCCGCACTTGGCGCGCGGGTAGGCAGTTAATAATTGCCGCACTTGGCGCGCGGGTAGGCAGTTAATAATTGCCGCACTTGGCGCGCGGGTAGGCAGTTAATAGTTGCCGCACTTGGCGCGCGGGTAGGCAGTTAATAATTATTTTGAGTTCTGCTGCTCATGTGAAGCCATGTGGCAGCGTAAAAGAATCCAATGCTCCATATATCATCGTAGGTGTCGTAAGAGGCGACAAAGGGAAATGATACAGAATTTTATATTCCTTAGTCACCTTTAGTGCGTGGAGCAATTTAATTCAATTTTGTTGTGAAGTTATATTATTTCAAGGTTAAAATATAGTTTTTGTCCGATAGCGACACTAGGTATGCTTTTTCCTTATTTTTGTCACTGGTCAGGACGCATTTTATACCAGCATTTTATACCAGCGCAGCCGCAGAGTAGGGCTGTCAATTTATTTTTGTGTGTCTACTGTAGTTGAATATGTGTACCTATACCTATATCTAAAAATTTAGACTCACCTTATTTATATATGTATATAATAATTTTATTATAAATGTGATTGCGTGGTTTTTATTACCATAATTACTAAAGATTAATATACGATCAGAAGTGGACGGGTAATAGAGTCAAATTATATTAAAATGTTACGAACTTTTTTTCGTCTAGTTATTAATACCCCTATTTTGTCTACCCTTAGGGATGGATTTTTTCTTTAAATTTATGTGGATGATCTGGCGAGTAGTTTTTGAGTTTCCTCAATAATGCTTATTTAATTATATTTGACTACATTGTTTATGTTCTCATTTTTATTTATATTGAAGTTGGTTGTACAAAATTTTTAATTTTACCACTTGTTAGAAAAAATTCCAAGTGCTGATACTTTCCTTAATTTCTGCCCAATTAAGTGACTGCAATATTATTTTGGGGATGCCCTTGTCAGATGAAGCTAGATTATTATATATGTCTCAGGTTTATGATTAAACCTGGCTTTTGATCTAAAAGACTAGGTTTATGATTAAGAACAGGAAGAAGACAAAATGACTACTTTGTTATTTTTTTTTAAATCAAAAGCCTAGGCTTTTGATCATAAAACACTATCGTAAACAGAAAGTATTGAAAAATCAAAATGATCATTTCCTAGCACTTTGTCGTCTATCAGGTAGGTAGTTTTTTTTATTTAATTATATTTGTTGAAATATATAATAATATGTATAAATACATACAACCATGTTCATTCAAACACGTCATAATATGTATCAATAGTTCAGTTAGTTAAATGTAAAACTATTTAATTAGCATTTTGAAAACGTAAAATATCTTGCTGGCAGTTTACACTCAGTTTAATGGGCTCAGGCATCAGTAAAAGATATAATTATTACACCCTTAGTGCGTGGAGCAATTTAATTCAATTTTGTTGTGAAGTTATATTATTTCAAGGATAAAATATATTGTGTAACGTAGTTTTTGTCCGATAGCGACACTAGGTATGCTTTTCTTTATTTTTCGTCACTGGTGATTTCATATGGACGTAGTTGTGCAAATGGGATCCAACCCTCAAAAGTGCTCTTCGAGATATTTATATTCGAATATTAGATCAATATTTAGTTTATATTTTTGCTAGTTATTTAAGTACGGATCTTAAGAATTATTTTGATATATTACGCCTTCTTAAGATTGGATCCTTTTTGCGTACCTACTTCCGAGCGTATTGTGTATATAGAAATAAAACGAATATGTTATGTCACCAAAAATTTATTTGTAAAGGAGATATATTTTTAAAATAAATACTCTGTGATATGAAAAATTTTGTGTTATTATGTCACAAATCCCCTTAAAAACGGCGTCATGTGGAACGTCGTGTAATGCTTCACGCTGTTGCTAGCTATGAGCACCAGTATTGTTATCAACATTGGACTCTCATATAGTACTGAAAACAATAAAAATCTTTAATTCATCCTATATTCTTAATTTTCCGCTGATATCACTTGGTATAACCACGCTGGCGTATGTGGTGGAGCCACATATACATATGTATATACGGAGTGTAGTTATGGTTGGACCGGGTAAGGGCAACGCTCTCACAGAGTACTAACGTGAAATTCCAGAAAAATGCTGCTTCGAACAGTGAGTGCAGAAAATCGTAGACCCTTTTTAATCAAGGCACTTCATCTTAGTCCTCATGAGTAATAACGCACTTGCGTTTTGATTAGGAATCAATATGCAGGTGCATAATGTGAGATGCGATATTGGTCAAGCTACTTACTACTAATAGGGTCTGATAAGGAGTGGTCTAGGCCAAGAAGTAGATGAGATTGACTCTTTAAGACAATGAATAGAATTAGGCGTTACTTTGCGGACATCCAGTATAGGTATTAAAGTTGGTAAAATTAATTTGCTTATATCCGCGTGATGAAATAAAATTACGTGCGTTACCTACTTTGAAGAGAATCTTCCGCCCTCCCTCAATTTCGTGCACTATCCTCCTCACCACTACGGGTACAAACAGGTAGGCGGGCGTTTCGCAGCAGTTTGTTAGGCTGCGTACGTCAGGTGGTGATTGGACGCATGTTTTATCGCATGACGCATTCGTTCATTACTTAAGCGAAGAGCGGTTGTGTCAGCGAAGTGTATAAATATTGTCTGTTTTGGCTCCACGCTTACTTAGCGGTCAGACACCGCAGATTCTGCTTCACTTGAGGATGCCTCGTGTAAAGGCGAAACACGTCGTATAGTCGACGGTGGTGTATTTTTCCTAGTGTTGCTGGGGTTAGTGGTGACGGGGATAGTGCACGCAATTGAGGGAGGGCGGGAGGTGCTCTTCAAACTAGGTAAGACACATTATTTCATTTCTTTACGCGGATATGAGTAATTTCTTACCAACTTTAATGAGCTTGACTTATTCGAGAAGTAATAGGCAAGAGAACGAACACGATAGAAGCAGGGAAGAGTGATCTTTACTCAGTGGTGAGACAGTATACACTAATATCAAACAGATTAACTTTCGATAGTCCTTCAAAGCCCTTGGTCTCCCATGTTTTTTTTTTATAGAATAAGGTTGACAAACGAGTTGAAAACACAGTCCTCCAAATAGTAAGTGGTTAGCGCGGTCCATAGACGTCTACATTTATCCTCGATTAAGAAACAAAACGCAAATGCGTTGTCACCCCTGAGGACTAAGATGGAATGACTCGATTCCAGTAAAAAAGGGTCTCCGGATCTCTACACGAAAACACAGCAGTCTTAATCTGCTATTTTAGGTTGGTATTCTGTGAGAGCGTGGTCCTTTCCCGGTTGAGCCGACCCATTCGTGCTACAACCATATAGCTGCAGCGTGGCTCTACCACGTTTGTAGGGAGGATTTGCTTTAATCGTCACGCTTGACAAGCGAATTTACCATCGTCGTACAAAATCGTGACCGTTTTTGGATGGCGGTGTAAGGATATCCACAAGCTATTATCGTCATGTGAGCATTGTAAGAGGCGCAGATGGAAACGGGCCAGAAGATAGGCAGCAGCAGTCAAGCGTGGCGACTATGGCAAATATCACCCACCCCACACCACCCATGAGGCAATTTATGGGGGAGGCCTGTTTCCAGCAGTAGACTTTTGCCAGGCTAAAAAAGTATCAATTTAAATCTTGTATCATATTGGAACTATAGACAACTTAAATTTTTTTTTTAAATGAAACTTTTTTGCGCACACAGTCCACCTGATGGTAAGTGGATACTGCCGCTATACATAGGACATCTACATCTATCCTCGATTAAGAATCAAATTGCAGATGCGTTGTCACCCCTGAGGAGTACGATAGAATGCCTCGTTTCCAGTAAAAAGGGTCACCAATTTTCTATACAATCACCACACGAAACACAGTAGCTTAAACTGGTATTCTATAAGACCCATTCGAACTATATAGTCATAATATAGGTGTAGCATGGCTCTACCAAGTAAAAACTAAACGAACACGGCAAAGCAGTCAGTCACGGCACGGAATTTCGTGTGCAGTACAGGATGAAAGAATTTTCCATAATCAATCTAATTAAGACCAATAGGCAATGCTAGTTTTAAGCCTTTGCTTCATCGCACATGAAGATGATCGATCCCCTTCATATTCGATTTGGTGCGTAAATACACATCATATTTGTCAGTTGCCTTTTAAAGTAGAGTAAAGGATGGTAATTCGGAATACTGCTGGTAATTTGGAATACTGCATTATAAAATAAAGAAAAGCGCCATCTAATAACGAATGCCTGTATTACGTAGTCCGTGTACTAACAAACAAAGAGGGCGTGACTGAGAAGCAGCCATATTGACAGCGCCGTGACAAAGTGCATCGGAGTGAAAGTGCTGTCGAGAAAATTTTTCAAGTAAGTAATAAATCGGCTTGCATCTTGAGTTTAACTCATATTTACATGTTTGTATTTGTACAAATCTATAGTTTTGTGTATCAGTTGTAGAAATCATGGCTTATTTTCGAAATTATTCTAAACACACATTGATAAAAATATTTTAGGTTAAAAATGGTTCTTTCGCTAATTTGGAATACTATAGGTGAAGTCAATTTGGAATATTCCAAATTATGTGCACATTAGTTTGCCTTCTTGTTTCTACTTCTGATTGAAAGGACTCTTTTTAAGTATTTATTATTTATTCAAATAGTCTTTTTGATCAATATTATTTAATTTTGTTTTAGTAATGTCTTCGACCACTGCTAACTCTGCCAGTAAATACAAAAAGCGTAAGAAGTGGAGTCAAAATGATATGGCTGCTGCAATATTAGCAGTTCGAGACAAGAAAATGGGCTATTTAAAGGCAGCAAAAACTTATAATGTACCCAGAACCACCTTATTTCGACTTGTTCAAGAAAATGACAGTTTGTTAGAAGATACTCTGACCAAAAAGATAGGTCGCAGACCAGTATTTAATAAGGTTTTTGAGGAAATGTTGGTGAAATATGCCCTTGTTATGGAACAAAAATTATATGGTTTGACTCGAATAGATATGAGAAGGATAGCATATCAACTTACTGTTAAAAATAATGTGCCCCATCCATTCCATGACGACAGAGCTGGCAGATACTGGCTCAAAGAATTTCTTGCGAGGCACAAGCAAACTTTATCAATACGCAAGCCCACTGGAACATCTTTTGATAGAGCCAATGGATTTACAAAAGCAAGAATGGACGAGTTTTATCTAAATCTTGAGAAAGTTTATGACGAAAAAAAGTTCACGGCTAGTAGGATTTTTAATGTTGACGAAACAAGACTGTCAATTGTACAAAGCAAATATCCCAAAGTGATTGATCGCCGAGGAAAAAAGCAAATTGGAGCTATGTCGTCTGCTGAAAGGGGAACTCTCATAACAGTGGTGACCTGTATGAGTCCCAGCTGGTATATTTGTACCGCCAATGATGATTTTCCCGCGCAAAAATAATAGCGACCTATTAAAGAAAGGCTCTCCTGAGGGTTCTATTATCCGAGTACATCCTTCTGGCTGGATACAAACACATTCACGCAGTGGTTTGAACATTTTATCGATTATGTAAAGCCGTCCGAATCCTCACCAGTTCTCCTCTTATTTGACGGTCATTTCAGCCACACAAAGAATATCGAGCTCATAGATAAAGCTAGACAGAATCATGTGACTTTGATTTCACTGCCGCCACATTGCACACATAAGATCCAGCCCATGGATAAAGCATTCATGGGGCCACTAAAAAGTTACTACAGTGAAGAAATTTGTATGTGGTTGCGCGAAAACAATAGACCACTTACTGCCTACGATATTTCAGAGTTATTTGGCAAAGCTTATCTAAAATGCCAGACTGGTGAAATTGCAGCAAATGGCTTTAGAGTTGGTGGCATTTATCCAAATACAAATATTTTCACGGAATCTGACTATCTCGCAGCAACACAAGAATCAGCGGATGGCATTGCTGAAAACGAACAAGAAGCACGTAGTCCTATCGCTGCAAGTCCACAAGTCATAAATGAAGCTGGAAATCATTCACCAACCCTATTACAAGGTTTCGATGACAGTCATGTTGATGTTTCGTCAGATAGCAGACAACAGTCAAATGAAATTGTGTCGGAAACAGATCCTCCATCAGTAAACCTTCCTGATATTGCCATGCCAGAAGAACAAGAAAAAGAAAATCTTCCTGGACCTTCTCGTAGTAACCCCTTTGTGATACCGTTTCAAATCTCACCAGTTCCTACTTCCAAATATCGGTCATCAAATCGAGGTCGTAAGCCAGGTAAATCTGAAATAATTTCTAGCTCACCCTACAAAAAGCAATTGGAAGAAGCAATAAACAAAAAAAACTGAAAAATCCATTTGAAAATGAGTATAAAAATATAAACAAAGAAAAGAAAACAAAGAGAAATTTAAAAGGAAAAGGGAAAAGGGAAAAGTTCCAAATCGACCAAAAGAAAGATATTTCCAGAAAAAGACACAGAGTCTGATAGTGATGATACATTCGCATCTGATGAATCAGAAGAAGATATACCCTCATATGCTAATGTGAGACAACCTACAGGAAATGACTGTATTTGTTTTTTCTGTAATGGAAAATTTACCGAAGATCAAAGGGGAGAACAATGGGTGCAATGCTTCACATGCGAAGGCTGGGTGCACAGCGAATGTGCTGGTTATGATTCGGGTTGCTATGTTTGTGATTACTGCAAAAACTAGAGAAAAGCAAAAAAGTAGAATTGATTTAGAAATAAGCATTGATATAGTTTTTTAAGTGATCTCAGTATCTTGTATCTACAAGATTTAGGCCAATTAAATGGTTAATTAAAGTTAATTATTTAGGTGATTGTAATTTGGAATACCCTATTCCAAATTTGATTCACTTTATCTAAACTACGCCAATCTGTGACTCTATGACTAAACCAAAAAAATTCCTACTTAAAATAAGCCAAGGTTTTCAATTATTTTTTATTTGATTAAAAGATAAGTTTTTCTAACACTGAATGCAGTTTTTATTCTTAAAACTGATACGATTTTTTAGAAAGTGGTATTCCAAATTTGCATGCCTTTACTCTACTCGTATGAAGTCTATCAAAAACGCGTAACTGAGGTGAAGAAAGATAGGACCACATTGCATGGGGGGAAGCGGCAGATCCCTCTTGCTTGATGCGACCGAAATCGGTCCTTATCAATTTACTAATAACTCTAGTTGTTATTCCGCTTACGTGTATCGGCCAATGAAATGAGCCCTGTGGCCATAGACCGTAATGTCCATATTCCTTACCGCAACTCTAACGTAAAAATTTATCAGAGTGTTTATTTCTAGTGGTCGCCCAGAGGTTGAAATTCAACTGTAATTCATTAAAATTTAGGTTTTTATATTAAGCAAACTGTATCTCACATTTAACTATACATAATAGACATTAAATCACAGATACCTAACATATAAAATATACGATATTTTGCCTTGACACACTCCACACACTATCGCAAGAGGAACATTTGAAATCACAATAATTCAGCTTATTCAGGCTACCAGTCATTTTAAAAATTCTTTGGCCACAATTTCTACTCTATGCGACTATTTGATAACAGGCTATTAAATGTTTACATTGGCTTTAGAGTAATAACATATAATATGTGCTTGTACTTCCTTTTAAACATTGGCAGTATGAACGTCAACAAACAACCTATTATTGACAAAGCGTCAATAATTGTGTTTGAGATTGGCTTTATGAAGGTGAACAATTTCCCCACAACAGAATCTTTCTAAATGGCATCATTTCTTATATATTGCAACCATTGCGGCTTGTATTTACCGCCCGGGAGAAATAATTTACTTAATTTCGTGTTTTCTTTAAATATGGGTATAAAGTTACGGTTTATACAGTAAAATATAATAAACATGTTTTTCTCATCTAAATTTATACATTAGTGCTAAAAGCGAAGTATAATAGTAATTAAAGTAATTTTTTTAAAACCTAGCCATAAGTTTGATTTGGTGGTGTTGTCCCCCCCTGTGGCCTTTCTGATCAATAACGTAATAAAAAAACTGCGGTTGCCAACCCGCTCGCCAAGCGTGGCAACTATGGCAAATATCCCCCCATGAATAACGACGCAAACAAACGGCCCCCAGTCCCCGGCGTCCCCGCTATTCCTGGCTACAGTGGCGACCATGGTAACGGCGAGGTAGGGGGTGCTAAGAATCTCCGGTGGACCTACGACGACTCGACCTGGCAACGTATAACGCACGCACCCTGAGGACTGACGAGAAGATACTGGAGCTGGAAGAAGAGGTAGACAAGTTGCGCTGGCATATTATTGGATTATCTGAGGTTCGAAGAGAGGGGGAGGACACGGTAATCCTCGAGTCCGGCAACTTGTTCTATCACCGGGAGGGCGACCACCTGTCCCAAGGAGGTGTCGGATTTATCGTCCACAAGTCTCTCGTCAACAACGTTGTAAAGATTGGGAGTGTGTCGACGAGGGTCGCGTACCTGATACTCAAAATCACCAAACGGTATTCGCTGAAGGTCATACAGGTCTACGCACCAACCTCGGCACATCCCGATGAGGAGGTGGAGGAAATGTATGAGGATATTTCTAGAGCCATGCATTCCTCCAAAACCCACTACACGGTGTTGATGGGAGACTTCAACGCAAAACTAGGCACAAGAGAAGGCAGTGAGCCGAAGTTAGGGAAATTTGGAGTAGGGCAACGGAACCGTAGGGACCAGCAGCTGGCTGACTTTATGAAGAAAGAAAGACTCTTTATGATGAACTCTTTCTTCCAGAAGCAGCCCCACAGGAAGTGGACCTGGCCGAGCCCCGACGGTTCGACAAAAAATGAGATTGACTTCATTATGACGACCAGACGCCAACTGTTCAGTGATGTCTCAGTGATCGCAAGGGTGAAAACTGGCAGCGATCATCGAATGGTTAGAGGCACACTGAACCTAAACGTTAAGTTGGAGAGGTCTCGTCTAATGAAGTCAACGCTCCGTCCCCCTTGTGCTCTAATCCAGAATCCCGAAACCTTTCAGCACGAGTTACGTAACCGCTTTCAGTGCCTAGAAGATTGCAATGCAGTGGACGATATGAATGACAAGCTCGTGGAAACTGTCCATGCGGTCGGAGCTAAGTTCTGCAAGACCCGCCGCAGAAGAACACAAAAACTCTCCGATCACACTCTTAATCTCAGGCTGTTAGACGGGAGATGAGGCTGCAATCGTCAACAGATTTGACAGCATACAGGCAACTGGACAGACAGATCTCCAAATGCATGCGGCGAGACTTACGCAACTTTAATACTGCTCGTATTAAAGAAGCGATCGAGCGGAACCAGGGCTCCAAAGTCTTTGCCAGAGATCTGTCTGCCAGAAAGAGCCAAATGTCAAAGCTGAAGACTGAGTGTGGCAGCTTCGTTTCCGGGACACCTGAGATTTTGAGTGAAATTGAGAGGTTCTATGGGCAGCTGTATACATCATCGTTGGAGCCACACGCAAGTGTGAGTAACGATCCAAGAGCAAGTCTTACACGACACTATTCCGATGATATCCCGGACGTCAGTCTGAGCAAGATTAGAATGGCTCTCCAGCACCTTAAAAACGGCAGGGCCCCAAGCGAGGATGGAATTACAGCGGAGCTTCTGAAAGCGGGTGGAACACCGGTACTTGAAGTCCTTCAGAAGCTCTTCAATTCCGTCCTCCATGGTGGCACTACTCCGGAGGCGTGGAGCAGAAGTGCGGTGGTCTTGTTCTTTAAGAAAGGCGACAACGCTCTCTTCAAGAACTACAGACCGATTTCCCTTCTGAGCCGCGTCTACGTGCTGTTTTTGAGAGTCATTACGAATCGTCTCGCACGCAGACTCGACGACTTCCAGCCTCCCGAACAAGCCGGTTTCCGAAAGGGCTTCAGTACCATAGACCACATACATACCCTGCGGCAGATTGTACAGAAGACCGAAGAGTACAATCTGCCACTTTGCCTGGCGTATGTGGACTATGAGAAAGCCTTTGATTCCGTCGAAATTTGGGCGGTGCTACAGTCCCTTCAGCGGTGCCAAGTTGACTGTCGGTATATGGAAGTGCTGAAGTGTTTGTACAGTAGGACTACTATGGCTATCCGAGTACAGAATCAGAGTTCGAAACCTATCCAACTGCAGAGAGGTGTAAGACAGGGTGACGTTATATCCCCGAATCTCTTCACCGCTACGTTGGAAGACGTTTTCAAGCTACTGTACTGGAAAGGATACGGTATTAACACCAATGGTGAGTACATCACTCACCTTCGATTTGCCGACGATATAGTCCTTATGGCAGAATCGCTGGAGGACCTTAGCACTATGCTCAATGACCTCAATAGTGTCTCCCAACGGATAGGTCTTAAGATGAACATGAACAAAACAAAGATCATGTTTAATGTCCATGTCACACCTATGCCGGTAGTTGTTGGGAGCACTATGCTCGAAGTTGTTGACGAGTACGTTTACCTGGGACAAATAGTCCGACTAGGTAAGTCCAAATTCGACCGAGAGGTCAATCGACGGATTCAACTCGGCTGGGCAGCGTTCGGGAAATTACGACACATCTTCTCGTCAGGTATACCTCAATACCTGAAAACTAAAATGTACAACCAGTGCGTGTTGCCAGTGATAACCTACGGAACCGAGACGTGGTCCTTCACTGCTGGCCGTATGAGGACGCTCAAGGTCGCTCAGCGAGCTATGGAGAGGGCTATGTTCGGAGTTTCTCTGCGTGATAAACTAAGAAATGAGGATATCTGCAGTAAAACCAGAGTGACAGACATAGCCCAACGCATTAGTAAGCTGAAGTGGCAATGGGCCGGCCATATAGCTCGAAGAACCGATAACCGATGGGGAAGAAAGGTTCTCGAGTGGCAGTCTCGTACCGGTAAGCGTAGTGTAGGGCGACCCCCCACTAGATGGAGTGACGACCTGGTAAGACATTCCGGAAGTCGATGGATGCAGGTGGCTCAGGACCGTGCTTTGTGGCGTTACTTGGGGGAGGCCTACGTTCAGCAGTGGACTTGTGAAGGGCTGTAATGATGATGATGATGAATGGATGACAGTTACTGACAATAGATATTTGACACATAGCCGGAATAGATGTTTTGACTGTTGAGGGGATATTATATATATTTTATTATTATGTAATATATACAAATATACATGTTATCTATAAATTTTAGCTTCTGCACTTCTTCATATAAACTTTAACTATGCCGAATTTCCTAAAAAGGGGACAAAGTTTTCCCATAACATATTATTATATATTGGATAACTTACCAGTGAAAACATTGCAGAAGACGATAAAGCTGTACACAAACACTAATAAGTAGTGCACTAGCCTCGTTTCCGGCGGGGTGTCCGTGTTTCCCCACACCAGCATGGGCAAAGCGAACAATGTACTCATGTTTGCCAACGAGAATGCTTGTAACAACCGCTTCGATGACACTGAAAAGTTTTGATTACCTAAATAGAAATAAATAAGGTAAATTAAACGTTATGTACATCCCACAGATGGGCACTGCCCTCCACTCATTTAAAATAACTGTGTATCTCGTAATTATTAATAATTCTGTAACTCGTAATTATTAACAACTTTGTAACCCGTAATTATTAAAAACTTGGTTGTTTGTAACTCTGTAACTAGTAATGGGAAAATACCACACCGACTTGTCAGTGAAGTCACAGGGCTCTGAAACTGAAAATCAGCGTTCCTTTTGCAGCATTATGCAGAGCTGGAGACATACTTGATGGCACATTTTAATTTTTCTTTATTTTATTATTCATTAATGATGCATGTGGTATGTGGTGTACTGCTACTTATTTGTTTATGGATAAACCGTCTAAGACTGATTCGTACATATTTTCCTCTTGCCTTTCGAATACTTATTTGTTTATAATGTGTGTATCAACTAAATATTTCTTTCGTTCTTTGTTTTTTTCACTCATTTCTGAGAGGGTTATGAATCGATTAGTCCACAGCAAATATCCTTAGATATGCAGGATACCTCTGGATGTTTTTCTCCACCGTCAAACACGTAGTACCCTAATTAGTATAAAGTGAAATACCTAATGGTCCTACACTGCCGGCCCTATGAGGAAGTTCAATCTCGTTCAGCGAGCTAGAGGCCAATGGTCGGAGCTTTTCTGCGTGATAGACTTTGAAGGATATATGCAGTAGAACCAGTCTTTGTTTCGTTGTTGTACATGAATTCTTTATGTTAGTGATAATAAACTTATTAGCATGCTAAACTTAGGTTTAGTTTTGGGCGTAGGCTAATGTCATCTTTTTTCATGCCAATCCATATAAAATTCAACCGCAACCAATCGGATGAAATATAGGAGCAAATTAAAAAAAATTACATGATTTAATTTTTTATTTGTATTTACCACACACAAACCTCCCTCATATTGCCCCCTAGGTATATTTTACGTTGTTGCCACGCTTAGCAAGCGGATTGGTAGTCGCAGATTTATTTTTTAACTTTATTCAGCTTTTTGCCAATCTCCTGATTCAGCTTCACTCTGTCGCTTCTTACTATACCCAAGGGGCCGATATATATCTTACACTGCTACTACTTATTGAGTATTGTATAAATAGACAATAACTTTGAATAAAACCGTAATATTTGGAGGGAGGGGACTGAGATATTTGACGTCCCAGTGCCATAGTTAGCCCCGCTACCTTCAATTATTGACTAATATTTTTGATCTATGAAGAACGAGCTTACAGTATTTTGAAGTCTTGCAGTGGGTTTGGATTTAATTTTGTTAATTATAGGATCCCAAGAAGATGGCAGCACCCATCCATCTTCTCTATTGAAATTAGAATGTTTTTTTTTTTAATTTGAATAGCCTCGCGTATCATCCTTGGTAGGAATCGCTATTTTTTTGCGAGGATTTGTGGTTTATCAAATCTGATGTAATGGTGCACAGTTTGCACAGTTACGGACTGCAGACTTCGGAAGTCTGCAGTCTGTAACTGTGAAATCACGAAAACTAGACACTATTTGATTTAACTTCGGTTAGGTTCGATTTATTTATGTCTAGAACTGATTGTAGCCAGTAGGTTAAGATGTATTTCTATTAAAATCGAATATAGATTTTTTAATTCTTTTTTTTTATTAAAAAATTGGCAAAGATGAGGTCTACAATGTAGCGAGTTTGCCCATCAGAATCCTGTTAACACCCTTGAAGAGATACAGGTTATAGGTACTCGGATAAACAGATTCGAAATTCGACTCCATTGCTGTGCGCATTATAACTAATAAAGGTCGCATTTATCCACTTCACCATGGCCTTTCTAAATGAATGTATTACTGCCCCTCCGTTTTTTCAGACTCAGAGAGATTTGTGACTGTGCTGTCATCTGCATACCAATAATACCTGGTAAAACTAGGTTTTTGATGTGCAGCTGAAAAAGAGTCTTAGAGAGAACAGACCCTTAAGGAACTCCGGCATTAATATGCATTAGGTCAAAAGAGCAGCAATCTATGACTACCCTGATAGACCCTTCACTCAGAACGTCAGATATCCAGTTGCAAAATTCCACGGGGATGCCTTACGTAGGAAACTTACTCAGCAAACTTGCGTGCCAAACCCTGTCAAATCTTCGAGATATCGAGTGAAACTGCTTCAGTTTCACCATTCTTCTCAATGGCTTCGCCCCAAAGATGCGTGACATATACAAGAAAATCCCAAGTGGACCGTCCCAGGCAGAAGCCATATTAGTGGTTATACTCTCTTCGTGCCCGCTGGACAGTCATCCGGAGGAGAGATGATCGATACGGATTTCACCAGATAGTAATCGGATGATCCCAGCGGAATTGAGACAGATTACGAGTGCCTGTCAGAGTGTGTTGTCAGCAGAAGGTCCAAGCAATCCGCTACATCTGGTACTCGCTACTTAAAACAGCTGAGTGAGATCTAGTTTGCGCGTTTCTCTCCTAGAATGGTCGATTTTCCCATATAGGAATAACCACTCCTTGTGGGTGTTACAAGACCTCGAGAAAAACTAGCTCCGCAGACGAATAAAATTATAGGGCTTTATCTGCTTCTCTATCAGGTATTTAACGAGCCTGGTCGTCTCCTATTCTGCGCTGTGCGATAGATAGACACAAGCATAGAGGGTTGTCTCTACACCGGTGTTCACCAAAAGCCACATAGCAGAAAACCCTGAAACCTCATAGCAACGGAGACGCCAACAGCAAATGTCATCGCGGACGTACACTCAGACCCCAGCGCGCTGTTAGAAGTTATGTTCAATCGTGTAACCTAGATAGTTGAGGTACGCCACATCAGACGGGTTTGCTATCTGCATCTCCGTTATGAAAAATAGGTGGGGCTTCTCGGTTTTGAGGTGGTGGTGGACCGGATCGAGGTTAGAGTACAACCTTGTAATGTTCGTTAGGAGCATTTTGATGGGAAGGAAGTTTTTTACCATATTTTTCTTAACTTTTTTCATGTTGGGTGTTTTTCGGTGGCGAAACAGTTGAGAAATCGAGACGCGCTCAATATACCAACTGAAGACTCAAGAGCTTAGCTAATCGATGGCGAACTTATTTGGAAACCACAAAAACGCTCTCCCCCCCCCCCCTTCTCCTCGAAATGGCCACTGAGTCATTGGCGGAGCATTTGGGGATTTTCGCGAGTAGGCGGACAGCCTTTGGCACGTAGCTGGCGCGCTACTTGGGCCCCCAAATACCTGCGATCGGTCGACATCTAGACCGTGCCTCAGCTCCCGCAATCCTCCTGAATAAGTGACCCGGTATAGCTATGCTCAGAAGTCCAGACTAGTCTTGAGCGTGTTTTCATTTACCCATGAAATTTAAAACAAGTACCTAAGCTGAGAGCCGTGGTAGCTCAGGGGCTAAGCGCTCGCTGATTTACCATATGCTTGGCGGTGAAGGAAACCTGCATGCCTGAGAAGTAAGAAAAATATTATTTCGAAGCCATATGAAGTTCGCCAACACGCATTGAGGCAGCGCGGTGGACAATTCCTTGCCCTGAAAACATCTCAGAAATGAGGCCTGTGCCCAGGAGTGGGATGGCTGTAACTTTAACTTTAAATAGTCATAGACTGCCTCAACGGTCTAGTGATGGTAAATGCGGTTCTGATCATGAAGTTCCGAGTATAAATCCTAGATCTGGATAAAATCAGTTATTGGGTTTGTCTGTCAAGAAATTCTCAGTAGCAGCTAGGACCCAGGAGACAGTAAGTTGGTAGTGTTTCACCCCCATGCCTCGAAAGCACCCAAAACCAATGTTCCTTCGCCTGATGATCTTTCGGTCGTGTTGAATTGCCGTCTCGTTGGACTATGTTAAGGAATAGAGAGTGCATCTGTGATTGCACATACACTCGAGCGCTATAACTCTGTCCCTGTTCTCTGTTGAGCCGTTCCTTGTTGGCACCGTAAGCGAATTTTGATCTGGAGGACATTATATAGGTACATTCGCCATATAAATCTACAACTGCGTGCCCTTTCTATTGTGTTTTTGAGGTTTCAATAGATTTCATCATTTGCAGTATATTTGGGATGATAAAAATGATTAAACCTACCGAAAATACAAGAGAAGCGTGCATTTTTAAATTAGACAATCCCCAATACCATAATACGGCTGCAGCGTGGCTTTACCACATATAATTTAAAAAAAGAAAACTGTTTCGTTTGAACTGAACTCTACTAGCCGATATATGAACATACCTCTGTTATTAGTTGCAAATGACTGTAGCACGTTCATGAGGACATGGACCGTCGTAATGAATATCATTATGCCTGTAATAAACAAAACGATATCAAGATAAAAAATTACTATAGGCATGAAAGCTCACGGGATAAGCTATCGTGAATTTTAAAATACTGGTAACCCGATTACAACCCAGGTTATCTATGGACATTGCACTAGCTCGGGCATGGATCTCGAAGCACTCTCTTGTTTTTTCAAAGGCTTCTTTGAGTTCCTTTTTCGTTCAAACGTTCTGTATACGCGCTTGTTAGCAATTAGTCTCACAAAACTGTTTAAACAAAAGCAATATTTATCAGTAACGTCGAACGCCTTAACATGACACAATTATACAAGGTGGACGCGCACACAGTCCACCTGATTATAAGTGGATGCTGTAACCCATGAATATTTACATTTATCCTCGATTAAGACTCAAACTGCAGAAGCGTAGTCTCTCCTGAGGACTAAAATGGAATGCCTCGCTTCCAGTAAAAAGGGTTTCCGGATCTCCCAACATATGAAACAGCAATATTAAGCTGCTGTTTTACGTTGATATTCTGTGAGAGCAGTGTCCTTCCCGGTCGAGCCGACCCATTCGTGCTACAACCATAATATAGCTGCAGCGTGGCGCTACTGCGTATAATTTTTTCTTTTTATTTACTACTTCACCTCTATTACTTGCCAATAAGAGGACTTCTAGCGTTTATAAACGTTACAGTTATGCATGATGATCTCATCTATACATATAATAAATCTGTAGAACTCCTGTCTGTAATTCTAATATTTCCTGAAAAAAACAAGCCCATGGGACTAAATAAAGGATACTGAAGCCAAATTACTGATTTTTAGAATGTTTGTCTGTTTGTCTTTCTGTATGTCTGTCTGTCTGTGTATTAAAGATTCACGCAAAAACTACTGGACAGATGTCCATGAAATTTTGTATGCAGGCAGTAAGTGACCCGGGGCTACTTATAGCCTACTTTTTATCCGATTACGGAACTTAAAAAAGGAGGGTTAAATATTTTCCTTTCTTTAGAAGTTAATTTTCTATTATTTATGATTCTGTTATTTATAAGCGGGATAACGTAATGTTTTTTTAAACGCATACAATATTTATAATTAAGCTTTAAAATTTGTTTTAACTGTTATGCCTGTAATAATTTGAAACTACGCCAACGATCTACATTGTACGTTTCCGAAACAGCGCCATCTATCATAAAAAGTAGAATGTAGTATATTTAGCTTTCAGTTATCAGTTACTTACTAATAAATTTAACATCATAAATAACTTACATTTATATGTTTAAATAACGTATAATAATGCAATATTAATTAATTAAATTTGTAATAATAATGCAATGCAGAAAAGCATTACACTTGTTCTAATTATTGATTTATTTTTATTACTCTTCTAGGATATCTTATATAGATAACTTATCGTCCCTTTGTCTTCCAAATTAACTCAATATTTTCTTTGTCATAAAAACTGACAAAATGTTACTGACTGACATTTTATATAGCCATTTTCCCTACAGTCATGTTTAAAAAATCTTGGAAGTAATCTTCCCCTTAGATTTAACTAACTCTTGACAACGACCAATATCAATTTATCTCTTTTACTATAATATATATATATATATATATGAACTATTAATACAAATATTTATTTCATTGATTTTTTTTCTGTAATCTTTTCCCTATATTTGAAATATTAAAAAAACATAAAGTTATTATTCATTGTGATGACATAGGTAAAAATTTGGGCATGGTGTTAAATAACCATTTAAAAGGACAATTGATTAGTAATTATTGTATGCCTGGAGCATCCTTTAGTCATATAATGAATAAAGTTTTAACTAGTAGGTTTTGTCCTAATAGCACATTAATAATTCTTGTTGGGAGAAGAGGCAATGTAAACAAAAATCAATTATTAAAATATATTGATTACCTCAATACTTTAAAATTATCTTGTTTACATTGCCTTATATACAGGGTTTCCACAGAATAAAATAAGGCATGATTTAAATTTATTAATGAATAATTTATCATGTAACAATAATTTAAATTTGACATTTAATTGTAACAATTATACCAATAGAATTAATTTAATAGATATTAATAATTTAATTAAGAAATTTTTGACTACAGATAGGTATTACCTATCCAAATATAATTTAAGACAGATAGCAAATGTGCTGTCTTATTATTTATATATTAACTCAGTCAAGGACTTGGCTACCCAGGCATCTGCTCCTATTGAGCAGCATTATGATTTGACATGCAATTTGGAATCCGTTCCAAGTAATTTAAATTAGAAAATGAGACAATAGGGGTAATCTCTAGCAGTTATAATAATTTAAATAATTTAGAATGTAGCTTACAAATCCTTAATAGTTGCAGTTGTATAATTCCACAAAATGATAATAAAAATTGTTTACACCTGGTGCATCAGAATATACAAGGCATGATAGGCAAAGAGCTAGAAATTGAATTGTTCTTAAATAGCAACAATATTCATATTTTATGTATTACTGAAAATTGGTTAAAAGCTCATAATTTAGTGTTTAACTTCAGTAATCACCAGGTGGTCAGTTCTTTCAATAGAGAAACGATTTTAAGAGGTGGCTCCTTAATTTTAGCTAGTAAATTATTATCATGTAAAGAACGTAAAGATATTGTGAGCCTCTCTGTTAAGCGAACTGTAGAAATGGCATGTGTTGAGTTTGAGCACCTCATTGTTGTGAGCGTTTACAGACCCCCATGTTCTTTATACGATACTTTTGAAAAAATTATTATTATTTAGTTTTCGCTAAGCTTAATAAACAGAATAAAACTGTTGTAATATGTGGAGACTTTAATATCAATCTCCTAGAAGCTTCCTCCACCAATATTAAATTTAGCTCATTGTTTAAATCTTATGGTCTTTTTAATTTATTTTTGGAGCCAACACGTATTGCTGAATCTAGTGCATCATGTATAGATAACATTTTTACAAATGTTAAGCCGTTTAATAAATGTATAATTCAAAAATTGAGCTCTGATCATTGTGGAAAATTAGTTTCATTACCTTATGTTCACAAAAAGCAAGTAGATAAAAAAGTTGTGTGTGTGCCAGTAAATGCACATCGCTTGGAGAAGTTTAGAAGTAACATAGTAAAAAAAACTTCATTACTTTCATACCAAAATAATCCAAATATTTTGTATGGAACATTATTTAAGCTCATTTGCATGAATTAATACTTTTACTTCTAAAACATTCTCCTTGAACAATCGCAAGGCATTTAATGAATGGGCGACAGTAGGAGTCCATACGAGTAGACAAAGGTTATATGAACTTTACAATGAAAGGTCATATAATCCGAGTGTCGAATTTAGGGAATATGTAAAAAAAATATTCCAAAATATTTAAAAGAGTGTGCTCCTTAGCCAAGTCATTGTATTTGAGCAACAAAATAAAGACTGCTTCTAATAAAATTAAAATGACATGGAGTATAATTAATAGTGAAACTGGTAAGGTCAACTCTCGCAATTGAAACTACCAGTTAAGTTTTAACAATAAATTAACTAAATCAGATCAGGATGTTGCAATGGTTTTTGAGAAATATTTTACTGATATTCCGATCTTAACCACTAAGTCACTGAATTCTTCTGCTGCCGTCGCCGAATCATTACTTAAACAAATGTAAATGTGTGTACAAAGAATTTTACATTTCATAAACTGTCACCAAAAGATATTGTAAAATATTTTAAGACTATTGATATTAAGAGAACCGCCGATCTGTGGAGGATTTCCGTTAAAGTTATTGCGTCTATAATAGATATAATCGCACCTCAACTAAGTATCTATTATTTTTTTAATACTAGTATCGAATCTGGTGTTTCCTGATTTAATGAAGCATAGTAAAGTAATACCTTTATTTAAATCTGGTAGTACATTGGACCCCGCTAATTTTAGACCTATTTCTGTACTGCCAACACTTAGTAAATTTTTTGAAAAAATTATTCTTGATCAAATGTTAAATTTTTTTAATGTAAATAATTTACTTCATAAAAATCAATTCGGTTTCACAAGGGGTCGCTCGACAACTGATGCTGGTGTTGAGCTGATTAAATATATATTTAATGCATGGGAGAATTCACAGGATGCTTTGGGTGTGTTCTGTGACCTATCCAAAGCCTTCGATTGTGTTCACCATGAAACATTAATCAGGAAACTTCAACACTACGGTGTAAGAAGTTAAATTTATTATTTCATATTTAAGTGACAGAACGCAAAAAGTTGTCATCAAAAGTATGAGATCTTCCGGGTCGATTGTACAAATGGGCATGCCTCAGGGTTCAATTCTCGGCCCCTTTCTGTTTCTTGTATATATTAATGACTTACCTTACATAGTAGGGGATAACCATGATATAGTACTATTTGCTGATGATACTTCATTAATTTTCAAATTAAAACGACAGTTATTAAATTACGACGAAGTAAATAATGCTATAGCTAAGTTAGTCAATTGGTTAAAGGTCGCTGCATACGTAACGTGTTTTATTCCGGACGGAGCGCGACGTAAAATTTTACAAATATCGTTTCATAGAAAGTGTACGTGATAATGCATACGTTACGGATGCACGGACGGGACGGGGACGTGGCATGAACACCACGTGGCATGAACGGGGTAAACATCGTCGGCGACGATGTTTACCCCGTCCCGTCCGTGGATCCGCTGCGTATGCACAGTCGCTCCGTTGGCTCCGTAGTGATGCGCGTGCCGTAATAAACAACATAGACGACGAAAAACTAATTGAATGTTTGTATAATCTTGCACACCCAAAGTATTTGGACACAAAATATTTAAAAAATCTGTGGCGGAAAATTTAAGTCTATGACTTACTGCAAACGGTAAGTATAAATTTTATTTGTCATTAATTGTTTTCGGAGTTTTACAATAAATGAATAGATTAATAGATAACAATAACAGTTGACCTTATTTATGCTAAAATCAAAACAGACAGGTACATAAATAAAGTAGACTCATGATTTACAATGTCGACATTT